ATCTGTAATTAACCAACTATCTTCAACATCTCTTTCATTTTCAAAATCAAACATCTGAGAGTCATCAAACCGAACTGCTTTAACTTTATTTTTAGTTAAAATTTCTTGCTCACGGTCAGAATTTTGAAAAACAAGAGTAATAACATCTTTCAGAACTGGTCTTTCTTTTAACAAACCAGCAATTTCAGTATGGTGTTCAGATTTAAAAAACTTTAAATATTTGTAACCTGGTGTATTCGAAGATGCCATCATAAAAACAATTTTATCAAAAGATTTGTCTTTAATACGTTTAAAAAAAAGTTTTTTAACTTTGTTAATTAAGGAAGGCATTTTTCTCTGTCGATATTTAATTTTAATTGTAATTTAGGTTTATCTTTTTAATATAGTAAAAATTTTCAAATTTAGAATTTAAAATTTTTTGTATTATATAATTATAATTTATTTAATAAAACTAAATAAAGAAATATATCTTATTTTTGTGAAAAATTGTTATTTTTATTTGTTAACCTTTTTTATAAATTTATATAAAATAGCCATTTCTATTTCCTGTTTTTTTATTGTGCTCTAATTTGAATTGAATAGCTTGTTGTTTTGTCTATTCAAAAGTTGTATTCTTTCTAATATAAAAACTTTTAACTTTATTTTTGTTATCTTCAAACCATCAAAATCTCCAACGATTACCAAATTTATCAAAATAAATTCTATTATATCCTGATATATTATTTTTACTTAATTTACAATTTAATTGATTTTTTCTTGATGTAGTTTTTCGAAGATTGTATTCACGATTATCACATCCATCACGATTTATATGGTCAATCATTTTAAAATTAGGATGAATCAATCGATGGATTCTTAAAGAATTTTTTGTGCAGATATAATATGTATTTTTAGTTCTAAGACAATGCCAGGTATAATTTTGCAAAAGATAAAAATTTTTAATATCTATCAGAAATGTGATTCCTGGTTTTTGTGTCTTTACTTCATAATAAAGTTTATAATTGATCAGAACACATCTGTATTCATTCAACTTCAATTTTGGTTTCTTAGAGTTTGTAACCTTGATCTAGTCTGTTGAATGTTCAAAGTGTTTGAATTTCTCTTGCCAGTTCGATATTTTTACTTCTTTTTTTATTTTTTAAAAAATTAAATCTTTCTTTTATTTTATATTTTCAAATTTCTCTGAGTCAAAATATTCGATTCAAAAATAAAATATCAATAACAAATATTGATAATTTATAAGGGCTGAAAAAAATAAAAAATAATTAAATTTTAACGTATTTTTGTAAAAAAGCAATATTTTTTTAATATTTTTTATACAATTTCACAAATAAAATTTTACACATAGAAATAAAAAAAAAATCTAAATAAATTTTGGTTGTTTTTTTTAAAATCTCCTATTCAAAATTTAAATTCTATACATTTTTCTCATTGTGCAAATTTTATGCCAAAATTTTGATGATTCGAAATAGTCATTTTTTGGTAAATTTATGTGTTTTTCAAGAAATTTTCATTAATTTTTAACACTTATTCAATTTTATGTTGTTAGCTTTACAAAGCGATTAAGAGCTTAGCTAAATATTTCTTATTAAAA